CACACACACACACACACACACACACACACACACACACACACTCCGATAAAACCTACCTCCTGAGCCCAGCCAGCACCATAAACTGTCCCTGGGGGCTCCAGAAGATACTGTTGGCCTGCTGCTTGTCAAACATCTCTGTGAAAGGAAAAGTGTCACATTCAGTTTAGTGGACACATTAGAAGCAACAACGCTCTGCTATAACATTGCATGCCTGTCCTTCTACTCACTTATGAGCTCAATCTTGCCGTTGTTTTTGACATGATAGAAGGAGGCGTTGATTCTTGGCGACTCGCCGTGGAGGACAGCAAACTTACTGCCATTGGGCTCCCATGCAAACGCTATGATGCTTTCTATAAGGAAAACATGACGAAGGGAAACAGATTAACTTCCTTTCTGTGGAAATTAGAATTACTTGCAGCTCATTTCTGTGTTTGTACAAATGCATGTCTTACCCTTCATCTCCACCACATCGACAGGAACCTGCTTCTCTCTCATGCGGAAGATTTCAAAGTTGGTAACGACACCCTGAGAAGGCAAAAAAAGTCAACTTATTATTTCTTGTTTTTTTTTAAAGAAATCTGTGACATATAAGCGGTTTGTCCTCTTTCTATGAGTACCTGTGTTCCTTTGGGAGTCCTGTCAACTTTCACACACAGATAATCCCCGTTTCTCTGCCAGTGCAGTTTGCAGTCGACGACATTGAAGAGATTGCGAACACGGATCTCCTGACGGGAGGGCATCTGCATCAGAGTCACCCTGGCTGGGATGTCTTTGTCCTCGGGTACCCAGAACGCTATGATGTTGTCACCAGGAGACCACGAGAAGTCCCTGAAGATGCACAAACATTAATACCTCTATACAAAATGCCGTTGCTTTTTAAAGCATGAGAGTATGAAGGACTCTTACTTTATCCCAGTAATCTTGAGACTCTTCTTGTCCAGTAAGCCCATAGACTACAAGAAGAAAACAAAACATAAACCTTTAATATCATTTGCACATTTCATTTAAACACATCTAGACTGTTTTCAGGTCTACTTACCGGAGTTTCATAGATGCTCAGTGTGTCTGGTGTCATCCTTGCAAAGAACTTCCCATCATGACTCCATCTGACAACAAACATGTAAAATTAGAAGACGCATCCAAACTCTGCAAGGACTCTGCAAATTTGACTTAAATTAGATTTAAAAGAGAGAAAGCATAATACTGACTTAAAAATAGGCCAATGTGCAGAACTCTCGCAGTGGAAGCCTCTCTTCTTCTGTCCGGTCAGAATGTCCCAGATGATGATGGCCTGTGGGTCCTCCTTGGTGTCCATCAGTGGACTGAAGGTCACCACATACCTGGAAGCCAACACAACCACACATTAAAATCAGACAGTGGCTCACAGGCCAACTCGGCACCTCTTTAGAGTGCTTTATCTGCACATTAATCATCCTTTGCTGTCCCCAGGTCATGGTGCAACAACCCACAGGATTTAGGTGACGTTGCCTTATTTACAGGAAATAAATAAATCACTAATGAATAAATACAAGAACAGGATACTCTGTGCACTATAATGTGCTTCTTTGGATTAAAAAAAAATAGACTTTTTATTACCTTTCACATGGTGAGAAGTCAATGAGGGACACACCCTGATGACTGAACCTCTGAATCTGTTTGAACTTCTCGCCGCCCCACAGTGCGATTCCCCGCTGGTGGAACGTAGCCAGGTAGGTACCTTTAGGAGACCATCGGACGTACGTCTCTGTCCAGCGCTGCATCAAAGCAGGAAAAACATCAGAACTCTCCAAACCAGTGACTACTGACCAATCTTGTTTGATACAAGCCCTGCATTTCCCACCAACTCTGTGTGAGTAATTTAAAAACTCACTGCTCTCTCTTCAACTGTGATTGACTCTTTAGCGTCGTTGGAGAAAATGGCAGTCCTCTCTCCAGCTTCATAGATCACACTGTACTGGTCACGGCAATCTGGGTCCTCGATCCAATGGCGCATATTCCCCTGAAAACACAGACAAAGTAATTGTCGCTTGCAGGGTTTCAGGATAGAGACTGTCCTGTTGATTTATAAAGGTCAACTTAATAATGAAAGTGCTGACATGAAGCTATTTTTGTCAAACAAATTCTAAGTCTTATAAACAGATTCATTATATTATGACTGAAAAGTTAAGGTAACACTTACAAAGTCTTTGAAAGGCTGCTTTGCTGGAGCTTCCCATTCATCGCTGATGTTCATGTATCTAAAAAAAAAACAAAAAACAAAGGGGCGATTATTTACTTTTATTCCAAGTCTGGCAAGCAATACCTGGACAATGCATTTACTGGGTGGTACTCCATACTCACTTGTCAAAGTCAGTGAAGAGGTTGACCCTAAACGTGTGTTGCTTGTCGAGTTTGTATCCATCTGCGTTCTTGACTGCTTCGAGGGCTTGAGTAGGAGAAGCATACTCCAGGAAGATGTAACTGTAACGAGGAGAAAAAAACAATTACTAAAAAATAAAACATAAACCCTCTGCTTCAAATCCAGAAATCCACCTTGAATCAAAACAGATGCACAAAAGAAAACATCTGTGGTCTTACCCTTTGGTCATGCCATCTGCATCTGGGTAAAACTCGGTCGTGATCTTGCCAAACTTGGAGAAGATCTTGTGTATGACGTTCTTGAGCTTTTCCAAACGCTCCGGGCCCACCTGAGGGACGTTGTCCACCACCACCACCGAGTCTATGCCGTCTGCCTCCTGGGGTTTTTCCCTCAGGATGTCATCAAGAAGCTCTGAAAAGTGAAGGAGGAGGGTCAGGGGTGATGAACAAGCTGATCGGACAGTGTGGGGTTGGGGTTCTTATCTCATTTTAATGAGGACCTTCTTTTCATATACAAGAATCAATCTAAACTTTATAGCCACCACTTCAGTTACTGGAAGGGAAGACTTCATCGTTGAAACAGACATAATTCTTTTGTTTAAATTTCCATTAGAGATATGTATGTTTAAGCTTCATGATTTATAAGTAGACAACATATAATCACATCATAATAAAGCTGATTCAATAGTACATCTCCTTTACACTCACTGCTTAATATACATCATTTTGATGAGGATAAAGAACCGCTATGCTGGTGTTTAGCTTCACAGAAGCTATTTCATTTGAGTCTCTGTTTAACTTAAGCTTGCATATTAATATTAAATGGTACTAATTTTGTTGTAAATTTACTCCCAAAGTTTCTATATACATAAATAATTATATTGTGACTACTACAGACAAAACACGTGTATCTGATGAGTCATTTTACCACAACTGCAAAACTTGCACAATTGAAAAGCTCTACTGAGCAAACGCCCCTCAGACCTGGGTTAGGATTACCACTGAGCTACAACCAGCTGCCCCATTCAAACTACTTTATATAGGCAAACAGCACAGAGAAAATAATGCGCCTTAACGGCTTTACTAGCTAAAATCATGTTTCGGTTTTTCAGATCGCATCGCACAGGCCCCAGTGTGGGGTCTGGGTGAGGCTGTAACGGGCGTTAAGTACACTGTGATAACGTTATGTTGGAGGTTTTTTTTGGAGAAAAAGGGTGGTGTCGCTGTTGTATTCCTGGTAATTACGCTTATGCATCCAGCTCATGTTCATTGTTAACTATTCACTATTACTACGTGCCGGTGAGCAGAGAGGCAAGCTAGCTAGCTTTGTAGCATCTAAAACATCCCCACCATTGAGCTCTTAGCTAACTGCTAACAGCAGGCCGGAAAGCCGGCGTTTTTTCTGTGACTGCTTACCGTCGTCGTCGACATCGTCCACGTAGTCCTCCGGGTCGCTGAAGGAAGGCTCCTCCTCTTCATACTCGGGGTCGTCCACCATATCCACCGTTTCTTTCATTTAACAGAACTACGACACGGACTTTTGTCTACAGCGGAGCAAAAATCCCGAAAACGAAAAGGCTGGCGGTTCTCAGCCGGTGTAGCACCATGTGCGGATCCGTGAAAATGGACGACGTGACGGAAACGCGACACCGGAACCTCCTCAAAGGCGCGTGGAAAGGCTGCGCAGAAGCAGTAAAGCTGTAAAGCATAGGGACCGGAAGTACAACAGCTACTGGTGGTAATTTCCCCCCACAGTGATGTTTAGAGATCAGCGAAGAGCGCAGGGGCGTGAGACCCGCCCAGAAGCACGGAAAAGGAAACGACACACCGGTAGATCCGAAACTGTTTCCCGCGAGACGTTCGTTTAGTAAAGTACAAAAACCAACGACTTTGTGTGTTTAAAGTAGCTGCTTCAGTTTGGTCTGTACTGCACAATTTAGCTAGAGGTCACATTTACATTGACATGAGTGGTTAGAGAATGTGTAGACGTTATATAACTCCTAGTTGTAAAGACCTAAGCTAGCAACTGCGGTTATTAACACGCACACCTTAGCACCATGGACAGAGAGTGTGTGTCACTGCTGCCCCGGGTCTGTGAGGTGCTGGCGGCCTCAGGGAGCTCGCTGCCCGATGACACCATTCTGGAGAAACTGCTGGACTGGTTCACAGCGCTCACCGAGGCTGGTTAGTAGTACTGACCCTAACAGGATAGTGTCTTCATTCTTCCTCCTCTCCCACTATCTTTCTAATAGGAGGATCGATTCAAAAATTATATTATTAAAAGTATCGATACCATCTAATCGATACTTTATTTCTATTCTTTAAGTTCAGTATGTAACCCTCTACCCTGGGTTGAATAACAGATATTTTGAAAATGAAACAAACATGCGATGACTGTCTTTTTTGTGTTGACTGTCACTTCTGCTTCATTTATGGCTTATAGCATATTTAAACGACACAAGCTGAGACAGAGACAAGCACATTTACATTCCAGTTCTTTGAAAAAACAGCTTCAAAATACATGAAAAGCTGAAAGGTGTGTTTTAAAGAGCCCTCATTCTCCAGAGAACTGATCTAAACTTAATACCATGCAGTGAATCACTGTATTTGTAGGTGATTATTACTCAGATTATATCACCGATATTTGCAGATAACATTTACACTTTGTAAAAGATCCCAAAACTCAAAGATACTTATGAGATATATATATATATGTTATATTGCATTAATAAAGATAAATTAAAATTTAAAATGTTCCTTTTTCATGTCTTTTATACCTTTATCATTTCTCTTTATGGTGCACATAAAAAAGTGATCCTGTGTAAATCTGTATCATTGTTTTTCTTTTCTTTCACTCTTTGAAGGGGAGTCTCTGCTGGAGGCCTGTCCGTGTCTGCTTGAGTTCATATCTGCTGTGATTCATGACACGGCTTCAGCCCCAGGTGTCCTCTCCTTCACTCTCAGACTCAT